CCGCGCGCTCGGCGGCGGCGCCTCCCCGCCTGGGGCCCTCGCTCCATCGCGCTCCGGCTCGGCGGCCTCTGGCTCCCGGACCCGGCGGCGGCTGCGGCGGGCGCCGGCCGCATGAGACGCCGCCGCCCATTGGCCCGCCGTATCCGCCTCCGCCATTGGCCCGCTGCGGCCGGGCACAGGACTGCGCACGTCACGGCGTCGGGGAGGAAGTGCGCCGGCGGGGGTGAAGGGGCGGCAGCGAGAGGGACAGCTTCGGTGACAGGCCTGGGGCGGGACCAGAGGACGTTCCGGGACGGATTGGTCAAAGTCGTGCGTCCGGGCGCACGGCACGTTGGGAAGCGAGCAGCTGGATTGGCTGCTTGCCTCGCAGAGGGGGCGGGCCTTTTGTTCCCGGGCGCGACGATTGGTCTTTCCAAATGCCGGAAGCGACGAGGGGAACGGTCGAAAGCCGGGATCCAGCGTCCACGGAGCGGGGAGATGAGGAATCGGCGGCGCTGGGCCTCAGCCCGGCAGCCTCGGCCCCTGGTCCGAGTCCCCCCGCCCGCGCGGCTTGAGGAGACCAGGCGGCGCCCGCTTGTGCGGGCGGACCGCGGCCGTCGCGCCCCTGCCCTGTGGTTAAGTGGAGGCGCGCGCGGTGCTCCGCGTGCGGCGGGTGCGGGCAGCGCGGGAAGCAAGGACCGCGCCCGCCTCGCAGGGCCACCGGGAGGACTGCGCGAGGAGTGTGCGCGGCCCTTGGCCGGGGCTCGGCACGTAGGAAACTGGAAGCGGTGGTCCCTCCGCAGCGGCTGCCTTCCACGCTCCGATTTCCCCGCTCCCAGCCAGTAACTTCCCTGGGTGAGCGGGGCGCCGTGGGCTGTCGAGCACCCTCGGGATGATGACCCAGGGTCCCGGTGGACACCTCATTGTAAGGATTCCCTGGGAACACTGATAAAATTGGGACTCCGGACCCCACGCCCACTTGCGTAAATCTAGATGGAGGGAAGGAGGAATTAGGATTTTCTATGTTGGTCTCTGATAATACTCCTTGGAAAATTTTCAAAATCACTGACCTTAGCCAATCCAATACTCTCTAGAGGGAATTTGCCTTGGAAATAGTCTGACGAGGTAAAAGCAAAGAATTTTAACAGAAACAGAACTTGTAAGTAAAAACTACAGTAGAGAAAAGAAATGCAGAGTAAAGTGAAAGAAGCCATTTAGTGCATTTATTCAGAGAGGTTTATTGCCATGGGCCAAACACTGTATCAAGCCCTGGAAAGTCGACGGGAACAGAGCAGGTGGAGTCTCTACCAGCTGGGATTTAGCGTCAGGCGGGGAAAACGTGTTTATCAAACAGCCACACAATATGCACTTTGAGAAAGACGTACAAGGAGTTATGAAAGAATATTGAGTGAAAACCAGGTCTAGTCTGGGGGAGTGGCTTGCAAAAGATTTCCATAAGGTGTTACACTCGAACTGCTGCTGTCAGAAGTCTGAGGAAGAGGTGAGTAGATGGGAGAATATTCTAGGTCTGCTGTCCAATAGGATAGCTTCTAGCCACATAGGACTGTTAAGTACTGGAGATGTGAGTCCAAACTGACATGTACTGTGAATATAAAATACACACCAGATTTCAGACTTAGCATGAAGAAGAAAAGAATGTAAAATATCTCAAAAAAATGTTTTTATTACACATGGAAGTGATAGTACTTTGGATAATGGCATTAAATAAAATATAGCTTTGAAACTAATTTTATCCTTTTTTTTTTCCCCTAATCATTGCTACCAGGAAATTTTGTTTTTATTACTAAGAAATGTTACTTTGTATAAGCAGGCTCCACACCCAACATGGGCCTCGAACTCTCGACCTGGAGATCAAGAGTTGGATGCTCTACCAACTGAGCCAGCCAGGCACCCCAACTGCTAGGAAATTTAATTTTTTTTTTAATTTTTTTTTCAACGTTTATTTATTTTTGGGGGGACAGAGAGAGACAGAGCATGAACGGGGGAGGGGCAGAGAGAGAGGGAGACACAGAATCGGAAACAGGCTCCAGGCTCTGAGCCATCAGCCCAGAGCCCGACGCGGGGCTCGAACCCACGGACCGCGAGATCGTGACCCGGCTGAAGTCGGACGCCTAACCGACTGCGCCACCCAGGCGCCCCCCAACTGCTAGGAAATTTTAAATGCCATCCTGGCTGCATTCAGTTTCGTGGGCAAAGGAGCAAGCTAACTGGTGCCCTTAAGTTGGAGAGGGTTGCGGTGGCCCAAGGGGCCATATTCACGTATTTAAGGCTTTTAAGTGCCTGCTGTGTTTTCAGCACTGTTGTAAGACCTCCGTGAAATACAGGGCAATGGGGGCAGAGGAGGCATGCAGTTTAATATAAGTTAGTAGGTGAAGAACTCAGATAAGATCATCTTTGAGGAGGACCCCGGGGGTGAAGCAAGGCGTGATTTGGAGAAAATCACCCCAGATGGGGCAGGAAAGAGCCCCACAGGCACAGAGTAAAGCCAGGCAAACAAGATGAGGAAGATGTCTGAGCAAGGGTCCCACTCGGAGTTGGGAAATCACCCTAAGCCACTGCAGGGTCGCAGGACCACGAGCCGTGGCCTGACCTACTGTTGAAGGATCACTCGAGACGACGAGAGCACAGAGAAGGTGGGGCGAGGCAGCAGTGCCATTGTGCCCGCGAGTCTGGGCTGTGTTTTGAAGACAGAGTTGGCAGGACTTGTGGGTTGTAAGAGAGAAGGGTCTGGGCTGAAGTCAGCACCGGATGGCAGGGCTCCAGGGGGGATAGAGCTTTGGGCTGAAAAACTGGGAGTTTACTTTTATACAGTTAAGTGCAAGATGCTTGGGTCTCCATGTGGGTGATGGGTTGGGGGGGGGGCAACCACAGAAAGCAGAGAGGTAGCTAGGCACAGGTGAGGCCTTGCAGGCACACAAATGATTTTTTTTTTTTTTTTTAAGTTTATTTTTGAGAGAGAGAGGGAGACACAGGAACAGAAGCAGGCTCCAGGTCCCAGCTGTCAGCGCAGAGCCCGATTTGGGGCTCAAACTCACAAACCCAGAGATCGTGACCTGAGCCAAAGTCGGATGCTTAACTGACTGAGCCCCCCAGGTGCCCTGGCACACGAATGATTTTTTTAGCCTGCAAGCAGCACCTGCCAGTGAAGGGCTTTAATCAGGAAGCACAGGGACAGAGTCCTGTTCTAAAACACCGCTTTTGAAACAGTGTGAAGGTTGAGACCATGATGAGAGGCCAGGTGGGAAGCTGTTGCAATAGTTCCAGAGAAAAGAGAAACAGGAAGGGGGGTGGCGAAGCGGTGAGGGCGGCAGAGTAGGAGAGCAGGGGCCAGGTGGAGATAGCATGGCTGAGGCTGGGGGGCTTGACGGGGCTACCAAAGAGCCAGCATTGCCACACCTTCCATTTTTTCCATGGAAACCAGAAACCAAATTTTTATAGGACAGTTCAGTAAAAACAATTTGCCAAACATGTGGGCCAAACAAAACAAATTAGATCTACAAATTCCTCCTCTGGATCCCCACAGGCTAGTTCTCCGCAGGGTAGTATCCTCCCCACAGGCTTTCCTGGCAAGGCTGTTTGCTTTAATGCAGTTACCTGGACCCACCGGGAGATTCAGGTTCAAGAAACCAAGATCCTGCCCAAAGCATTTATGTTGCAGTATGTCTCTGTTCCCCAGGAGCCAAAAGAAGAAATTATTGATTAAACATAAGCCAAATGTGGCTTTGGAAAAATCCAGTGCCCTGGTGATGCTTGACGCCCTCCCAGAGAAGAAATGATGTGACCTTTTACTCCTAAGCCAAGCTGCTGGAAGTGACTCTCCACCCTCCGCAGGACACCACCTGCCCCCCCCGCCCATGTGGACCCGGAGAGTGATGGTGCACGGGTGAGGCTCTTCTCACCCTTGCAAAACTGCCGGAGGCTGCTGCTGAAAGGGAGGTGGCCCAGCCACCTTGTTTTCTGTCTGCTTCCTCTTCTACACAAGTGGCAGAAGTGGCCAGAGCAGGCCCACATTCTGACCCCTTCCCTTCTGCCTGTTACCCCAAGGCCAAGCCAGCCCCGCCTCAGCCCTGTGGTCAACCCCAGCTCTCCAGCATTCTTCACATTAGAATTTGGAACCACAACGAATTATCACATGCTTTGCTTCCACCGTAGCTCGTGATGCACGGCCCTCCCAAACCTCAGAGGAAGTACTAACTGCTGTGTGCGGCAAGAGTCAGATGTTCCTGGGACCCCTGGCCCCAGGACCACCGAGGCCACCCCGTCATTTTTAAAACTTTGGACCCAGGATCTTTTCTGTAGCCTACCGGTTTTTATGTCATTTTAAAATCGATATGAAGTATTCTTCTCTTCAATTTCTCACAAATCCAACTAGAAAGGTTGAGAGTAAAAATAAGTCTTCCTAAGACTTCTTTTCCTAGTGAGGGTGTCATAATATTGCATAATGTGTTTTATGTAATGAACGTCAGCTTGCAGAAAGCACGGAGCTTACTCAGCTGGGAGATGAATTGTGTACTCATTCAACAAATGCGTGGGTGCCTGCCGTGTGCTGGACAGCATTACAGCAGAGGCAGAACACAAATCTCTCAAACACTTTCATGGCCCAGACGGGGATTGAAAGACGGTCTTGTGGCTCTGCAGCTGGCATAGAACATTCCAGAAGCTTGGGTGGGTGGCCATGGTCAGGAAGTGATGTGACACCCATCTGCAGCCCCTCTCTGGGGTTTGTGAAGGAGCCATGGAGGCTTTGTCCTATGCAATCCCTGGAAACCAGCCCCTGCGGTACAGCTGAGCCCTACTGGTAAGGTGGTTGGGACGCCAGCCCTGGGGGGACCACAGTGCTCAGTGTCCGGAATGGTCCATTCACATCCTTTCGCTAATGCTGAATTCAGGGATGATTTAATAACAAATTCCCCAAACTGTCCCTGGGTACTTCAAGATATCTTTAGCTGAAGAGGAACTCACAAAAGATAATCTTGAATCTAATCTGAGTCCCCTTTTTATTTTTTCAGTAATCTCTACACCCAACGTGGAGCTCGAACTCATGACCCTGAGATCAAGAATTACATGCTCTTCTGACTGAGCCAGCCAGGCACCCTCAAGTTCCCTTTTTAAGCGCATAAAATTCACATATCTTTGATAAATAACAACCCTAATGACATTGGAATTGCCATGATTGAGACCAGGGGTTCCCCAACTGTGGTTCAGGGACCCCTGGAGGCCGCCCAAGACCTTTCTGGGGGTCAGCAAAAGTCTGGCAGTTTGGAGGGCATGGCTGCAGGCTGTCAGCAAAGGCAGCTATTCTCAAGAAGGCAATCCAGAGCCCTGGGGTCTGGAAGATTGAGTTGAATGTCACCAGACTGGAAGGTGTACCAGTTAACAAGGGAAGGAGGGAGAGAGGAGTGGTCCCGCTGAGTCTGGGGAGAGGGTGAAAGGCCGTGTGCCGAGATAGAGAAGCACCAGGCCTCAGCAGTTTGGAGCTAGCAGATGGCCGCTGGAGCTGTCCTGCAGGCCACGTATGTACCAGCCTGCTGGTGAGAAGCAGAAACCTTTGGAGATGAGCTTGCTGGAGGGGACGTCCAGGCCCAGGCGGCAGAAGCCCGGAGGATGTCAGTCACTCAGCACTTTCCTGGAGCAGGCAGCCTGGGAATGCTCACCCCTCCCTGCTTCACCAGCCTGCTCAGAGACGGAGACTGCGCTTTATGGGTACACGTATCTTTCAAAACAATTATACGGCACTGGGGACAGCAGAGATGCTCAGTATTAAAGGAATTAGTCAATGTTGTCCCTGAAACCCAGCTTTACTTTGCAACTTTAAAAAGTATTCAGAAAATAAAAGGACAGAAATGCTACCAGAAAAGAAAGAAAAGAAATGCTACAGGGCTGCTGCTGTGTTTCAGTGTTGAATACTGTGTCCCCTTCCAGTGACCCTGTGGGTGGCACCCACACTGTCCAGCAAGGCTGGCTTCTTGGCACCTGCTAACCGCAGAGCTCCCAGGCAAATGTTTGAGTCCCTCCCTTCTGCCTGGAGACAGGTTACGTCCATAGTCTATGGGCTCTGGGTCACTTTGTTTATTCTGCTCAAGAAACTGTAACCTTGGGGCACCTGGGGGGCTTGGTTAAGCATCCGGCTCTTGGCTTTGGCTCAGGTCATGATCTCAGAGGTTGTGGGTTAGAGCCCCACATTGTGCTCTGTGCTGACAGCATAGAGCCTGCTTGGGATTCTCTCTCTTCCTCTCTCTCTTTGCCCCTACCCTGCTCACTCACTCTCTCTCAAAATAGATAAATAACCTTAAAAAGGATATAGAAAAAATAATAATAATAGTAAAAATAATAGAGTCCCTTTCTCTGTGAAGTCGGCCCTGGCCACCCCATCTCACACTTTGTCTCTGCAATCACTTACAATCTCACGGACCGTGTGCTTTGCTGACATGGCTGACTTTTGTTTCTCACTAGAACAGAAGCTCAGGGAGGACAAGCATCTGTCCACTGCTGTGTCCCTAGCGCCTAGGTCGTGGCCACAGAGTAAGTACCTCTTAAGGAAAATTTCATTTTATCCCACAAAAATCTATTTTTTTCTCCAGGTTCTTTCATTTTCTGCGACTGCTTTGAGGGCCTCTCACCAGTCCCCCGAAAGTCACCACCTGCCCCTTTCACCCTCCCTCCCTTCCCCATCTTTCCTTTAGAACCAGTAACAGCTCTGGGGAAGGGGGGGGGGGCTCTTTCCCCTACCCCTCTGTATCTCTCCTCCTTTCTTTTGGCCTGGTTTTGTCCCTTCTCTTTTTGTTCTGCTCTACAGAACACGCGGGAATGAGCCAGCAGTCTCTGAGAACCGGGCGTTAGAAGGTCTCAGTGAACAAAGGCAAGGTTTTCCTTAGCGGGAGGCACACAAGGGAGGGACGTCTGGGAACACTGGCCTGTCGCTGTGTCTCTCCCTGTTACACTGCGGCTGTCCGAGTTCAGTGTGCCTCACGGCAACTTCTACGGAAGTAGGTCCACCGTTGATTTGCCGAAAAGCCGTGATGGCCATAGACCTCTAGGATCTAGCAAGCTGGTGAACACTCGGTGCCTTAATGGAAGGGCACAGAGACCTAGGACCGTCCTTGTTCAGGGGAAGAGCATGCTCTGTCCAACCCCGCGAAAAGGAGTCACCCGGCTGCCCGCTGCTGACTGTGGGTCAGGGAGCGGAGACACGGCGGACCTGGTCACTGGCTACATCCTAGACCAGCAAGCGGAGGACCCTGTTGGCTACAGGGCACATTCAACTGCAAGCGGTCTGGGGGACCGTGTACAAAAAGTGAATGCCTTCTTCCTTCAAATGTCTTCTCATTCCCCGAAACAAGTGACCCCTGGGGCCAGGGAGATAGCAAGCTAGTGACTGCCAGGAATAGCTATAAACCAGACATCCAGACGTGGTCCCTCTCTGCTGGTAGCTGAACCCAGATGAGACTTCTGAGCCCACACTGGGGGGTTATGGAGGGAGGGACCCCGGGCCTCTGGCCAGTGACGACTCCCCAGTAGCTAGTGAGCCTGGACAGGCAAACCCCAACTTGGACCAACAACACCCCAAAAACTCAACATAAACTTGCATCTAAAGAAACGGGGCGGCACGTGATGAGGAGACGAGGCGGGGGGTCCCACCCGCAGTGACTGGATCTGGGGGCGCAAACCAGGTTGCCCCACGCCTCACCTGCAGCCTTTGCTCCTTTACACGTGGGCCTCCTTCTCTCTCTCCAACCACGGTTGGCTTTCTCCACAGGGTGGGAAAGGGGGGAGCGGCCTGCTCGGTCCATCCTCTCCATGACCCCAAAGGCAGTCCCTTCATCTTCAAACAGGAGCTCTAAGGAAGGACGCCATTGGCTGACTTTGCATTCCTGAACCAATCGTCGCGCGGATTAATGCAGCCCTAGGAAGGGCTGGGGTCGCGTGACCAGGGGATCAGGATCGGAGGGGTGGATGTTGCTGAACAGACGTGAACAACAGACACCTTCTGTAATCATCACTGTGGTCAGCGGGCTCTCAGGAGACCCTCGGTGACGCCCACCCCCTGGAATTCACACCCTGGGGCCGTCCCTGCCACACGCTCCACGTGGTGAAGAGCTCAGGTCTCCTGCCAACAGCCAGGTGAGGGCACCCCCTGGAGAGCCACCCTCCAGCACCAGGAAAGCTTCACCTGGACCGCACCCTTGGGTAAGAGCCAAAACTACTTTCTCAACCACACCTGGACGCCCAATCCTCAGAAAACCGTGTGACACGATGAACATTGTTCTAACTTGCCAAGTGTCAGGCTGATTCGTTCCATAGCAACGGACGGCCGATCGAAGCAACACAGCAAGCTAAGTTAATAGATTCAGTAAGTGCTGTCCAGAGCTATGAGGGGTAGCAGTCCGCAGAGAGGGCGTGGACCCTGCCCTTTCCAGGTGTCCCCCGAAACACTGGTCCAGAATCTCACACCCAGCAGTCTAGTGAAACACGGAGCATACGTGGCTCTTTAGTCACACGCAAATTTCTATACAGGTTGTTTGTGAGTAGAAATGGACTTTTTATCCCTTTAAGAACAAAATCTGTGATTACAAAATCTCATACATATGGTGACTAAAACCCAGCTAACAAGTGATATGAGAAGAAATCACTTCCTAAGAAAGATCTTTAGTTCAGAAACAAAACCTCCCAAAATTCAAAGAAATGAACGAGTTTATTCAAATGCTCCACAAGGAAGTATATCTTGTAGGAGACGTCCTAATATTGGCCAAATACCTCGTGGTAGAACAGGTCACTCAGAGCTCTGTGACTCAGCCTTGGCAGCAGGAGCTCAGCAGAGTGACTCTGGGAGCAGTGCTTGCACCGTGCAACCGTCCCAGGGCCTCAGAGGCCAGGGCAAGTGTGGAAGCACCTGTTCTAAGAAAAGAGAAACAGCTTACTTTACTTGCTGCCAAGCTGCCCAATTTAGGAAGAAGCAAATAATTGCTCTGATAGGAGAAAGGAAGCCTAGATATTAAAACCAAAAGATCAATTTCGGTCTTGACTGCTAACATGTCATTCCTGTTTTACAGACAAGGAGGACAGATGGGGAGCAGCTTGCCTGAAGCAGGAACTTGAGAGCCCAGGACCCCCACCAGCCAAGGAACAGCTGCAGGGGTGGGAGCAGCAGAGGTCCGCTCTGCTCCCTCCTTCCACACCCCCCACCAAGGGTCGCCTGGCTCACAAACACACCTGGTGTCGGAGTGGCAATGCAGGAATCTAGGACATGGGACCGCAACCCGTTCACCGTGAGGTTGCCTCCGCCAGTTAAGGGAGGCCGCGTCCTGATGGACACTGAGTGCACAGAGCCGAGGAAGGACAGTTGAGTAAACAGAGGTTAAGAGGGGGGGCACCTGGGAGCTCAGTCAGTTGAGCATCCGAGTGTCAGGTCATGGTCTTGTGGTTCGTGGGTTTGAGCCCCACGAGCCTGCTTGAGATTTTGTCTCCCTTTCTCAGCCCCTCCCCTGCTTGCTTTCTCAAAAATAAATGAATAAACATTTTGAATAAATGAATCGATAATCTGTTCTTCCAGAATCTCATTTGCTATGACATCCCAGGAATAACTCCCAGATACGAATGACTTCCAGCTTCATGAGCTGTTTTCACGTACTTTTATTGTATTTTATCTTTATGACGAGACTGTGGGAAACCCAAGGCTGCTATTAGCCTCACTCTGTAGATAATTATTATCCCCATTTTAATGATGAGAAAATTGAGGCTCTAAGAAGGTAGTAACTTGCTCAACGTCATAGGATGGGGACAGAAGCCAGCGTTGTTTCCACAGAGGTTGGCCCCTTGCCACTACCCAGTATTGCCTCCCACTGACTTGTCAGTCAACAGAGACCACAACAACAATTTCTCTTCAAGCAGTATTAGCGGGATCCTAGCTTATACTCTTCCTAAACACATTCCTAAACACATACACATCCTAAACACATGTTAGAGGCTTTGGGTGATGAGGGAACAGGGATGGGAGGGGGGCTTGGTCGCTTCCTGTCAGGGCACATTGCACAGCTTTGATAGGGTGCAAGAAACCACTCTCTCGGAAGTTCGGTTCCGGTCACAGGACTGGTCTGGGCAGAGTGAGGGCAGGACGCAGTGAGCCGGAAGGCAGAAAGTGGGTGGGACAATTTAACCAGCAAAGAAAAAAACAGTGGAAGGAAGGCTGGGGAGGAAGGATTGACAGTGAAGGACCAGGGTAGGAGGACATAAAAAACAAAAGGAAAGGCAATTAGTTCAGTTGTGTGAGTCACAGGCAGCCCTGGGCCGAGGGGCTGCTCCCTCCACAAACCAGCCACGAATAAGAGTCTCTACAGAGGCACCAGTTGCTGGGGAGCTGAGCACCCATAATCCAGACACTGAACTTTAAAAATGTCCCCAAAGGTGCCTGGAAGGGCCAATCGGTTAAACGTCTGACTCCTGACTCTTGACTTCAGCTCAGATCAAGATCTCACCCTTCGTGGAATCAAGCCCAGGGTCAGGTTCCAAGCGGGCAGCAGGGAGCCTGCTAGGGATTCTCTCCCTGTCTGCCCCTCCTCTGCTCCCATGCATGCGCCAGCGCTCTCTCTCTCTCAAAATAAATAATCACTTAAAAAGTCCCAAAGTTTTCAGCAGTGAGGGAGGGGAAGGATATACAAATCATGCTACTTTTGTAATACATGAGGAACAATGGTGGGGAGCAGCGCAGCCCCAGAAACCAGTCCGACCAGCTCTGAGGCTCTGCACTATCACTCCTTAGCTCTGACCTTGGATGGGATTTAATGTGTTTGAGTCTGTTGCCTCATCTGTAAAGTAGATATTAAAAGTACTTCAGAGTTGTGAATATTAAGAGCATCCGATAGCGAGCCAGGCACCAGTTAGTACTAAGATTGCCTGCAGGAATTTCTAGAATACAGAAAGAAAAGCACATGGAGAACCTGGGTGGCTCAGTCTGTTAAGCATCGGACTTCGACTCAGGTCTCTCCGCTGCTGAGTTTGAGCCCCGCATAGGGCTCGGTGCTGACATCTGAGAGCCTGGAGCCTGGAGCCTCCTGCTTCAGAGTCTGTGTCTCCCTCTCTCTCTCTGCCCCTCCCCCACTCATGCTCGCTCGCGCGCGCGCTCTCTCACAATTAAACATAAAATTTTGGGGGGGCGCCTGGGTGGCGCAGTCGGTTAAGCGTCCGACTTCAGCCGGGTCACGATCTCGCGGTCCGTGAGTTCGAGCCCCGCGTCGGGCTCTGGGCTGATGGCTCGGAGCCTGGAGCCTGTTTCCGATTCTGTGTCTCCCTCTCTCTCTGCCCCTCCCCCATTCATGCTCTGTCTGCCTCTGTCCCAAAAATAAATAAACGTTGAAAAAAAAATTTTTTTTAAACCTAAAATTTTTTTTAGGCAAAAAAGAAACACGTTACCATAACCCTACCTCTGTAAGACATCCACCTAGTTTTTGGTTTTTCTACTCAACAAGCGTTTCAGCTCCGAGCAGTCAGCAGCGTCAAAGCTAAGCGCTAAAGCGCTGGGCCTCACGCAGGCTGGGAAAGAGGAGGAAAGGTGCAGACAGCGGCGGCCAGGGGCCGGGTCTGCCCGGGCCAGCGACGAACCAAAAGGCCCCTCCCTCCTGCCTCGGGCTGGGGACGACTTCCAGAAGTCTTCGCGCCCTCCGCAGAAAATAACTAGTTAAGATGGCTATCTGTCCGAAATTAAACGTCCTCAGGACGAGGCTCCTGCCTGCGCAAGGGCGCCCGGCCACCCTCCCTGCTCTGACCGCGAGCCCCGCGGGCCCCTTTCAACTGCCCGGCGGCGCGCTGCCGCCTGACCCCCGGAGACCCGCGGACGGACCAGGGTCCGGTTCCGGTCCCGGGAGGGGGGGTTCGGGGTCCGAGTCCGGGTCCCGTGGGGTTTGGGGGTCGGGGTCCGAATCCCAGTCCCGGGAGCGGGTTGAGTCCGAGTCCGTGTACCGGTCCCGGGTGACGGTCCAGTCTTTTGGGCGCGTCTCCCTCCTTGCTCCGCCCGGGAGAAGGACGACCGCCCCAGCAGCGGCGCCCCTGGCCGGCGTGGCTGCAGGATGCAGCCCGGCGCACGACACTCTTCCTCCAGGGCTCTATGCGCGGTGCCCCGCACAGGCTGCCACCTAATAAACCGCTAGGTTACGCCAGTCCGGTCGGGGTTGCGGCGGGGCGCCGGGGGCACCGAGCCTTGGCAGCCCCCACCGCGCAGGCGCTGCCGGGTAGCCCGACTGCGCAGGCGCCGCTTCCGCGCCAACATGGCGGCCGTGTTGCTGCTGCTGCGTGCCCTCCGTCGGGGCCCGACTGCGGGGCCCGGGCGACTGCGGGGCTCCTGCTCGGGCTGGAGCCCAGGCCTCACCACCGAAGGCGGGAGGAGGTGCCGGCACTTCGTCTACAGGCCTCCGATCCGACTCGCGGGCGCCGGAGGCCAAGCCAAGCAGGTAACCGCCGGCCCCAGGCTGGGACCCTGCCCCCTTCCTGAATCTGGGCCGGGCCTCTCCCGCCCCGCCTCCGCCCCGGCTGGGTCCCTCCCCCTTCCCCTGATCCCCCTCCCCAGCCCCGGCCAGGCCCCTCCCCCTCCCCCATAGGCCTCCCCCGCTCTCCCCGCGCCCCTGCCGGCCCCTGAGCCCGAGCGGTGCCTTCCAGTCCAGTGATGCGGGGTGGTACGGAAGGGCCGGGGCAGCCTTGGAGAGACTCCGCACAGGCTCCAGCTTGGATGTTTCCAGCCCTTATTTCCTGTATTGATATTTTCTGCCTGTTTGCCTGAATTCCTGGCATCTTAAAATTGAATCCAGGGGCGCCTGGCTGGCTCAGTCGGTGGAGCGTGAGACTCTTGATCTCCAGGTTGAGTTCGAGCCCTACATTGGGTGTAGACATTACTTAAAAATCTTTTTTTTTTAAATTTTTAAAAAATATTTATTTTTGAGGAAGAGAGAGAGAGAGAGACAGTATGAGCGGGGGAGGGGCAGAGAGACAGGGAGGCACAGAATCCGAAGCAGGCTCCAGGCTCCAAGCTGTCAGCACAGAGCCCGACCTGGGGGGCTCGAACTCATGAACTATGAGATCATGACCTGAGCCAAAGTCGGACGCTTAACCGACCGAGTCACTCAGGCACCCCTAAAAATAAAATCTTTAAAAAAAATAGATAAATGTGGGGCTCAGTCCGTTGAACATCCGACTTCGGCTCAGGTCATGATCTCGTGGCCTGTGAGTTCGAGCCCCGCATCGGGCTCTGTGCTGACAGCTCGGAGCCTGGAGCCTCCTCCCCCACCCTTCCTCCCTCTCTCTCTCTCTCTCTCTCTCTCTCTCTCTCTGTCAAAAATAAATAAACATTAAAAAAATGTTTAAAAAAATAGATAAATAAATTGAATCTACTAAAAGTTTCACTGATTTTAGCGGAGAACAATTTCACAATTGGCTCATTTGGATCTGATCTCCTGAGGATTAGTTCCAAATAGTACTTGGCGTTCGGTTCGAAGTGGGCTGAGGTTTTGTGAGCCAAACACCACGTGATATTTGACTTTTGTCTTGTAGCTTAACGTGTTAGGAACTCAAATTCACGGAGCATTCTCTGGCCAAGACTGTTCTAGGCTCTGCTCAGGTTAACTCTTCATCCAGAAAACAAAGACCCTAAGTCCTGGTGCCTTTATGGCTGATTTTTTTTTTACCCAGTCTTAGGAGCTCAGCCTTGACATCCTAGGTCATAATTTATTGTTGCTATTATATTTTATCATAACTGAGGACCAGTTTGAATTATAATTCTCTTCTTTTCTAGCTTACTGGCTGTCCTTCCTTAACCTGAGGGCAACTGTAGACGTATTACCTTTTTTTCCTGCCTTTTAGTTCCGTTGAAAAGGAAGTTCGTGCTTTATCATCATCAGTCTGAACCTGTGCTCATTTTATGAAAATAACTGATGTAGTCAGGTGACACAGTGTGAAATCTCAGCAGGTTACCTCGCCAGTGGCTGTAATAGTGGTAAAACTAAAGTAACCTGGTTTAAGCAAACTGTTTGGGTCTTTGAAGAATGACAGTTTTTGTTTTGTTTTGTTTGCTGTATCTTTCACACTGATGTTAGTCATTTGTTGGGTCCAGTCCACGTTGCGCGGCTACCTCTTCTATGCCTGCTGCGTCTCACCGAACCAAGAATGTTAGTTTTAGTTAAATGGGACAATAACTCGATAGACTAGGAATTTGCCTCTTGTTGCTAACGGGAGGTTACATGTTATGTGCTTGTTACCAGAAAGCGTTGAGCAAGGTGTTACTTTTCTTGATAGCAGCGGGACAGGGATGAACTGAGGGAGACATCAAAAGCAGATGAAGAAACTGCCAACAAAGAGAAAAAGTTAAGTTGGATCATTGACCTTAACATAACACGTATTCAAGTGGGAAAATGCTCACCCTGAGAGCAGAGCTTTGGAAAGACAGGCCAGTGAGCTGCTGTAGAGCCAGAAACGCTCTGTGTGGAACTGCTGTCTGGAGATGTCAGGATCAAGGGCCCTGGGCTCTCACAGCTGCCGTGTGTGTGTGTGTGTGTGTGTGTGTGTGTGTGTCTGTGTGTGTCTGTGTGTGTCTGTGTCTCTCTGTGTGCTTTTCCAGACTGTGATCCTTGGGTACAGAGTGGTAGCCAGCGCTCCCTGCCTGCCCCTCAGTATTTCTTGCGCTCACTCACATCACGCTTGACGTTTTGATGTTACATTAAAACTCTGAAATGATATGGGGCGCCTGGGTGGCGCAGTCGGTTAAGTGTCCGACTTCAGCCAGGTCACGATCTCGCGGTCCGTGAGTTCGAGCCCCGCGTCGGGCTCTGGGCTGATGGCTCAGAGCCTGGAGCCTGTTTCCGATTCTGTGTCTCCCTCTCTCTCTGCCCCTCCCCCGTTCATGCTCTGTCTCTCTCTGTCCCAAAAATAAATAAACGTTGAAAAAAAAAAAATTAAAAAAAAAAACAAAACTCTGAAATGATGCTCAGGCCATTCATGTTTCAGGGCAACGTAAGCACAATAAATGAGCGTTGGAGTTGTCAAGAAAGGTCTGGCACAAGGAATCAGTCACACTGCGGTGGTGTGGTGTGCAATAGGTGACCGTCCTCTGTGTTTTCCTTTCCAGAACTTGCAGTCGTGCCTGCTGACCCCTACCTGTGACGGGTTCCGGGGACTGTTGCTGAAACAGCATCTCATCCAGGATCCAGTCAAACTCTGGAAACTCTTAGGTGTGTATCTTCTGAAATAGAGAATTGATAGGCAAATCCTGTGACATTTGTAAATAAGTTAGGATATCGTTGCTAGTCTGACATCGGCAGAGAAACAAAATCACTGAGATGACTTTTGGCTTTTTTTTAATTAAAAAAAAAATTTTTTTTTACTTTTTGTTTTTATTTTTTATGTTTTTAATGTTTATTTATTTTTTAAAAAGTTTTTTTTAATGTTTATTTATTTTTGAGACAGAGACAGAGGGAGACAGGGCACGAGTGGGGGAGGGGCAGAGAGAGAGGGAGACACAGAATCGGAAGCAGGCTCCAGGCTCGGAGCTGTCAGCACAGGGCCGGACGCGGGGCTTGAACTCATGAACTGCAAGATCATGACCTGAGCTGAAGTCGGATGCTTAACTGACTGAGCCACCCAGACACCCCGTTTGGCTTCTAATTATTATTGTTGTTTTACTCACTTGCTTATTTTGAGAGAGAGGCGGGTAGAAGGGGCAGAGAGAGAGAAGGGGAGAGAGAAACAAGCAGGTTCTGAGCCATCTGCACAGAGCCCAACTTGGGGCTTGACCTCCCCACCCTGAGATCATGACCTGAGCCCAAATAGAGAGTTGGTTGCTTAACTGACTGACCCACCCAGGTGCCCCCTGGCTTCTATTTATTGTGAGCCCCTAGATGTTCTAAAGAGCAGTTCACAAAAGAGAAGATTGGCTAAGGCCTAATTGCTTCCTTGAGTGGACTTTTTTAAAATTCTGGTGCATAGCAATGATTGAGCTGCTTAAAAGGATTTTCGTGTTTTCTAGCAGCTGCAAGAAGAGTTAGTAAGGCTCTTCAAAGTGTATGTTTTATATAAAGAAGGTAACTAAAAACAGCCCACAAATAACTTATTCTTGAAATAGTTTGCTTGTTTAATGAGATACTGTGACATCTTCAAGCGAGATCTTGGGTCAGAGGCCTTAGGATCTTCAGGATTGACACCTGGGACTTTACTCCCCGCTCCATCCAGTTGGAAAGGGCAAAAGTGAAACCTCCCAACTCCTAAAATACATGAAATGGCTTGGTTCCCCCGTGTGCTTGGGGAGGGCCACTTGGCAGCAGCTGTTTCCCGCATTTTTTTTTTTTAATTTTTTTTTTTCAACGTTTATTTATTTTTGGGACAGAGAGAGACAGAGCATGAACGGGGGAGGGGCAGAGAGAGAGGGAGACACAGAATCGGAAACAGGCTCCAGGCTCTGAGCCATCAGCCCAGAGCCTGACGCGGGGCTCGAACCCACGGACCGTGAGATCGTGACCTGGCTGAAGTCGGACGCTTAACTGACTGTGCCACCCAGGCGCCCCTGTTTCCCGCATTTAAATCTACACACATCCCCAGGGACACACGCCTCGCCCTCCAGACAGCCTGACCCTCTTCAGAGGGCCATCAGGGTAGTCTTACTTGCGGTTCTGTGAGCGTTGTGAAGAAAGATCCAGCTCAGTCATGGCTGTGAGACTCTCTTTCCCCTCCTTTTAAACAGCAGTGGAATTAGACGGCGGACAAGGCCGAGCCTCTGGTGTGATGAGTGTTGTGTCCCAGTGGTGGCTGCTGGGAGGCTGTTGCACACGCCACAGCCAGTGTGGCTCGTGTGCTCAGGTTCATTAAAGTGGCTGTGTGTGTGTGGAAGAGGCCATCCTCCAGCAGACTTCCGACGTTTCCTCAGTTTACATGCACGACTAACTTTTCTTCCCTGGCTTGCTAACTGCAGTGATGAGACATTCCATAAGTTGAAGTAGCTTATTATTCCGTAAGTAGCAGCTGCCGTACTAAAAATGAGGACCCAACAGCGCTCAATCTCAGCATGTAGGTTTCGGATGGCTTCTGTTTGGGTTTGGTTATTGGAGAACATACTCTTCTCCCGAGTGCTCCCCCGTAGTGGCAGACCTTGCTAAACGCTGTCCCTGTTCCTTACAGGTGGCACTTACTATTTTAACACGTCCAGGATGAAGCAGAAGACTAAGGACAATGGTAAATCCAAGGCGAGGACCCCTGAAGATGACGAAGGTACATCTATGTGACGTTCGTAAATAATGGCTGCCTCGGTTGTCTTCACATGTGTGTTCTGCTCTCCGCAGCAGGAAGTCGGTCTCAGAAGTAGAGAGAGCCCAGGCACCTCTGTCTCTCTTACCCTGAGCACACCTACCCCCAACCTCTGATGTGATCACTGGGTCTTCTCTTCTCCTGTAGAGACAGGCTTCCATCCACACCTGTGTCCCTTGTCATGTCCAGAATGTCCGAAAGCAGGCAGGATTACTCTCCTCTGCATAGAAATGGTGACTCTCAGGTCTGCCCTGGACTCAGGAGTTCCAGGGTGGGGAGGAAGGCACCAGGACACCTTGGTGAACCCACCCCCCACACCCCTGCTGAAGTGTGGCCTTGAGAAGCAGTCTCCCCGCCAGAGGAGAGGTTGGGACAGCGTATGGCCTCAAGGAGGGGGCAGAACACATAACAACACTCCCGTGTGAGTGACCTCTTTGCCTGTTAGCCCTGCCCCAGCCCCAGTTCACAACGACCTCACGTGTAAACCTTGAGTCTCACCTCCTATGGAATTAGGACTCTGATCGGGCGAAGGGGTGAGGGAAATTAAAAGGTCAGTTTGAATTGACCTCTAAGGTAGAAGCTGGCTGCTTAGAGGTAATGACACTGGAAACCACTAACCCATAAGAATGACTGGAGTGTACCCAGCACTGCACTACATGACTTCTACATCTTCACAATTAATTCTCTCCTAATTCCCCGTTATCGTTCCCTTTTTATCCCTGAGGACATCGGGTGTCTGTCCTGTGCGGAGTCTGGGGAGGGACACACAGGTAGAGAAGTGGGCGTCTTGTCAAGGACCTTCCTCGTACTTAGATGCTGATTTTGTTTTGCTTGTTTTATTATTATTTTTTAAAGTAGTCTCTGTGCCCAATGTGGGGCTCAAACTCACAAACCCCAAGATCGAGAGCCGCAGCTGTTCCGACTAAGCCAGCCGGGGGCCCCCATCTCCAAGCTCGTGAGAGACGGGTCTTAACTCCCGGAAGCCACCCGTGTGGTCATTGGCTGGGTTCCGTGGAGACATTTCTTAGATATTTCTGGTTTCAAGCTCTGCGCTGATCTCACTGCCGCCTTCGCGGGGCATCCACTTTGGCCGTGGCTCGTTTCTTTCACCCAGAGAGCTCCCCGGGAGCTCAGCTCTTCCCCAGCAGGCTTCTGAACTCGGACACACGCGCGTTTCCCACTGTGGGCTGCTACATTTGCGTGCGTCCTTCACCCCACAGGGACTCCGCGTTGAAAGGTTTTCAGGGGTGGGGGATGAGGGTTTCGCTTGTCAGGAAATCTGCAGGATTTTGAAACACAAATACTGGCGAGGCTGATATTGGCAGCTATTAAAATTTTTTTCTTCCCAAAAATTAACGTGTTGGTCCAGTAATAGGTCGGTAGCTCAGTGGAACAAAATAGAAAATCCAGTAGCAGAACCTGGTTTATGTAAGAATTAGGGCGTAACTAGAGTGGCATTTCGTGCAGTCGCAGGAAGGACGGATTGTGTCAGAAATGGTTTGGAACAGTTGCTTCGTGACTTGGAGAGAGACGAAATCACACGTACCAAAATAAATCCTGGATGGATTAAATCATTAAATCTAAACAGCAAAACCATAAAAGAATTAGGGGGAAATGTGGCAGAATATGGACATGGGAAAGGCCTTCCTAAATTAAGAAAGAGGTGACAAGGAAGCCAGGGTTTCCTGTAGAGAAACGGGTGTGGGCCTTGTGTGCGCCGTCCTGTTCCTCGTGCTCGATCCCCCTGATAATTGTGGTTTCTGCGGGAGTGGCCGCGGCCCTCAGTCCAGGTGCTGAACCACACGCTTACTGAGCCTGGTCGCCGCCATGGTGCCGTCAGCCAGTGCTGTGGCGCAGGGGACAGCGGGGGCAGAAGTAAATCCCGAGTAGGAGTCTCGCCCACTCCTTCACCGGCGCAGGTGGCAGCCGCACGCGGCTAGAGGGCGTCTGTGTCTCCCCCGCCTTCCTGGAGCGTGTAATACGTGTGCACTTCAGATTGAACGGTAGCGTGCCCTGAGAAAACGGGACGGAGTTCGTGTCTGTTGAGTTTTCATTAGAGGATGATTATTTGTTTAGCCGAGGATTTTTCCTTCTGGGAGAATCCACTGTGGATTTTCCCTGG